CTGCTCGCCTCTCTTGTCCCCCGGCCCAGGCCACCGTAGCCCTGCCTCTCGTTCCCGAGTCACTGCAGGGGCGTCCCGCGTGCAGCCGGCCCTTGTCCCACCCGTTCCTCAAGCACCCCTGCGCCCGTCAGAATGCCCCCACGCTCCTCACCAGCCAACACGGGGCTGTTGGCTTCTTAATGTGTGGAAATTACAGAGTTTTTATATTTTTGAAAAGTCAAAATAACTATAGACACCATATATAATTGGGTAAATAAAATAAGCATGTACTAAGTGTGTGCACATATTAAATGCTAATCAAATATATGTACACTGTTGTAACCAAATGTTTACATTAAGGCCTCATCTGAAATAACTCCAAGTCACTAACATTTCTGGGCTTCAGTTTCTTTTTTAAAAATTTCTTTTAAAAATTGATTTTATTTGCCGAAACCGGTTTGGCTCAGTGGATAGAGCATCGGCCTGCGAACTGAGGGGTCCCAGGTTCGATTCCGGTCAAGGGTATGTACCTGGGTAATATATTAAAAATAAATAAATAAAAATAAAAATTGATTTTATTAATTTTTTTGTTAATCCTCACCTGAGGACATTTTTCCATTGATTTTTAGAGAGAGTGGAAGGAAGAGGGGGAGACAGAGAGACACATTGATTGGTTGCCTCCTGCACGCACCCCGACCAGGGCTGGGGACCAAGCCTGCAACCGAGGTGCCTGCCCTTGACCAGAATCCAACCCGGGACTCTCTAGTCCTCGGGCCAACGCTCTATCCACTGAGCCACCCCGGCTAGGGCAGGGCTGCGGTTTCTTCATTTGCGGAATGACAGGGTCCGATCAGATGCTCTCTGCCCATTAAGTCTGACTCTTTGGGAATGGCTTGTGTGTTTGATTATTTGTGGGAGGACACATGACGGCTGGGAACAGCAGTTGCTTCTGGGGAGGAGGACTGAGGACCTGGGGGGAGAGGGAGACTTAACTTTGTGACTTTTTCTTCTGTTTGATGATTTCCAGTTTAAATAAGAGAACAACACTTTTTGTTGTTGTTGTTAATCCTCACCCAAGGACATTTTCCCATTGATTTTTAGGGAGAGTGGAAGAGAGGGGAAGACAGAGAGAGAGACATCCATGTGAGAGAAACACATCCATTGGTTGCCTCCTGCACAAGCCCTGACCAGAGCGCTTCCATGCACAGAAGTCGGTATTTTGTGGAAGAGCCACACTCAAGGGGCCAAAGAGCCGCATGTGGCTCGCGAGCCGCAGTTTGCTGACCACTGTACTAAAGAAGCCCCCATCACCCCTAAAAACAAATGCCCTACTGTGGCCTCCGCATGGGAAAGGGGACTGAAGCCAGAGGGAGGACAGTGTTCCCTTATCACACACATCAAAGTGCTTTAAAAAAAAACCCAGTAAACTCTGAAGACGTTTGAAGTCTCTACCACTAGCATAGCCCAGGGAACCGAGAATGTGCTTGTAGAACGCGAGGTCCAAACTCCTGGAGGGCTCGGCCCATCCGGAACCAGCCTTTCTCCCGCAGTGCTCCCCCCGGTCACCCCTCTCTGCCCCGCCCCGCCCCCAACACGGTCAGGCCTGTGCTGCTCAGGCTCCACCAGCGGGGGCTCCTCCGCCGCCTCTGGGACTCTCCTTCCCTCCCCCAGGCGCGTCTTGTCTGTCTTCAGCGTCCTGTTCACATTCCGACTACGGAAGTCGAGGCCCTGACATTAACTCACACTGGTTAGCGTTTCACAGTCTATACTTTCCTGCCCAAGAAGGCACGTTTCTCCCGACACCCCACGGGTGTGTGCTAGCGTCCTCGTTTTACTCACGAGAAAACAGACCTCAGACAGGTTGGGCCACATGTTCCCCGTGACAGAGTACTTCTCACCCACCAGATGGTGGTAATAATAATAATGTTTTGTTAATCCTCACCTGAGGATATTTTTCCATTGGTTTTTTTTTTGAGAGAGAGAGAGTGGAAGGGAGCGGGAGAGACAGCAGATGTGAGAGAGACATGCTGGTTGGCTGCCTCCCGCACACGCCCCAACCAGGGCTGGGGATGGAGCCTGCCAT